TTTTTTTTTTAACAGTGCTTAAGGAGCCCATTCTTTGCAAGTCACCCGTGTGTTCTGTAGGCATTTTATCTTTGCTCAAATTGTTGGAATGGTAAATTGTTTCATGGTCTTTGTATTTGTGTCTAATGCATGTTTTAACATGATAGATGCAATGCATTGTATAGCTACAGTTTCCTGGAAAAGTCAATTTTTTAGGAATTGTTTTTCGGATCTTCAATAAATTTTTTCTTTAAATTTCAAAGAGCACTGTGCTTGTGTGAATGTTATAAAAATCATTTATGCTGTATCTTGTGATTAGACACTGATTTTTCAGATGGGTGTTTAGTAATTTTCCCTTGTGGCTGGCCTACAAGATTGTCAAGAAAAGTAAAACAGCTTGTAAGGCAAAAAAAAAAAAAACAACTTTTAAATGTGTGAATTTACTGAAATATCACACAGTATCCTATAAAAATGTACAATTTTTATGTCAATTTAAACATTAATTTTTTAAAGAATGATTTTACAAACTAAAACCTTATTTTATGTCATATAGTTTGTTGGGCTTGAGATTATTTCACTTAATCTTCACATTAACCACATGCAATACAAATTATCCCTTTTCAGATATTGCAACTGATATTCAGAGAGGTAAGGAAACTGCTCCAGGTCACATATCAAATGGCAGAACTGCAATCTGAATCCACCCAAAATCTATTAAATTTTAATATAACAGTATATATTAAGAATGTTTTTGTCTGTAAGCCAACAAGCAAATCTCAACAGGAATGAAATAAAGGGCAAATAAATTTAACTTTACTTCTCCCAACCCATTCACCCACACTAGAAATTCAATTAAGAAAGCATTGAGCTGAGTCAAGAGCCCTTTCTCAAACAAAACTTTATTTTGGAACAAAGCTCACTAAATTGCCCAGGCTGATCTCAAACTTAGCATCTTCCTGCCTCAGCTTCCCAAATATCTGAATTTATAAACACACACCACCACACCTGGCTTACTTTTACTTTTATAATATGGAAGAGGGTATTTAAAGAATATCATCAAAAATGGTTCTATCAAAATTATTTCATTTGAATTCTAAAGAGCAGTCCAGACAGCCTGCTATACAGTAACAGAAGCTATGTTAAAACAACAACAACACTATGAGGCAATGCACAACACCTCAACTTTAAGAGAAGCACTTGAGCTGCAAGAAGAACATCTCAACACAATACCACAGAGGGCTACAAAGAGTTTTTTTTTCTTAACTTGTGAACCACTAAGGCATTCAGGGATTAATAGCCTAAGAATTTCATAACATATATCTAGTGAGCACAGACAGTAGTGGCAAAGAGATGAATATTTAATCTATTAAGGTGAATGTCTCTGGACATTAAGGAGGCTGTGAGTTTTTATAAATTTCACTTGCTTTTAAAACGTTTTATAAGGGGCCAGGGATTTAGCTCAGCAGTTCGGTGGCCTGCCTTGTAAGTGCAAGGACCCGAGTTCAATCCCTGGTATCAAAAAAAAAAGAATAAAATGTTTTATATACTCTTTAATTTAGACTCAATCTACAGTGGGCCACTAATTAAAAACAGAAAGTTTCAGAAACAATTATGTTGGGGAAAAAAAAAAGAAATAATTATGTTGAAATAAACAGACAAGAAGCATCAGAATAATTCTGCAAATGGGCTTCAAGGTGCTTCAATTTCATTCACTTGCTCAAAAACCATCATTAGCACATGAACATGCCCCTAGAATTTAAATATTCATGTTAAAGAGTCAGCTGTATCAATTTATTTTATTATTTATTAAGAATAAATACAGGGACGAGGATTTAGCTCAGTGGTGTCACCAGCTGCTTGGCAAGCACAAGGACCGGAGTTTGATTCTCCAGTACCAAAAAAAAAAAAAAAAAAAAAAAAAAACCAAAAAAGCTGACTTCTCTGAGGGTAAAAAATTCAAGAATTCCAAATATGAGGTAATGAATATATCTATATTTGCTATATTTGATGTGGCAACAGCTAGTTAACTTTTGATATACATTTTAATACACATTCGTTCACCAAATCAAATATGCTATATTATCTTTTAATAGCCATCTGTTAATAAATTATGCTTTTCCTTGTATCCTGTAATTTTAAAAATTAACCACTTAGAGTCCAATTATTTAAATACAGGATGACTAAAAATAGCACTTTTTTCACTAATTTTGGTAAAGCAACAAAGCACTTATAAAAATGACAATTTTATCAAATTTATTCAATACAGGATCAACTGGTTAATGGCTGTAATCCCAGAGAACTGGGAGGCTGAGGTAGGAAGACCTCAAGCTCAAGGCCAACCTGGGCAACTAAAGTAGATTGTCTCAATAACAGTTTTTAAAAAATGACTGGGATGTAGCTCTGTGGCCCCTGGGGGTAGGGGGGGAATATCAATCAATATGAAACTAAATTCATCGTAAGAACTTACAGTCTATCTATATTAAGAACTATTATGGAAACAGCCAGGCTGAGGCAGGAATAGTGCGACGACTAGTGATTTCCAGGCCAACGTGTACTACATAGAGATTCTGTTTCAAAAAACAACAAAAACCCAAAAAGAGTCGACTGCAGTGGTATGCCTATAATCTGAGCTACTCAGAAGGATCACAAGTTTGAAGTCAGCCTAGGCAATTTAGCAAGAAACTGTTGCAAAATAAAAACACCTGGGATATAGCTCAGTGTCAGAGTGTCTGACTTTGATCCACACTGCTTGCAACAAGCAAATAAGAAATAAAGAAAGATATAAATTAATCAATTTTATGTAGCTATATTACACCTGTATATACTCAAGAGAAGACATGTTGGCTGTAGGAGCATTACAATTCAAAAACACAAGCAAATTTTCTTTTGAAACGAGGTTTTGCTATGTTCAGACTGGCCTTGAGCTCACTATATAGTCCAGGCCGATCTCGAATTTGTAGTGATCCTCCTGCCTCTGCCCGAGTGCTGAGATTATAGGCATGCGCCATCACACCTGGTTAGAAACTTATTTTTTTTTATTTAGGTTAAAAAAATAAACTGCTTACAACCTTTAATTAAAACCCAAGTCAAGACAAGGGCCACTCTAAATCTTTCTAAGACCATGACCTAGGCCCTCCACTTACTCAATGGTTTCAGTCATCAACTAAAATGAAGATGGTAACAAGAGACTTGAAATACAAGAAAAATATTTAAAGAAAAACTAACAGAAGATCAGAGGAAAGTTTTAGGAAGATGTGGGGGAGAGGTGAAAGAAAAAGGAGAAACAAAGTAACGGTACATTAAAGCTACATTTCTGCTCATCTTAAACAAAATGTTATCCTGGAAATATTTTCAAACTTACACTGTAAGAGGCTGCTTCCATTTGGGGCTATTTGTATTATTACATTTTTCTGTCTTCTTTGACTGTCCATCCACTGTCACTTCCACATAAGGACTTGGTCCAAACCAATTCTTTTTATTTTCTTTAAGTTTTGCCGAGAGAACTATGTAAAAAAAAAACAAAAAACATTGCAATCGTTGATAGATTAAGCCCTCAAATCAACTTAATTTCAAACTAATAAGATTTTTACTGAGAAGCAGATATGCCTAAAATGTTCCTTATTTCCTCCCACCTAGTAAATATACAGACTTCCTTAAACCATACACCCAAATCAAAACTCTCACTGTCAGTATCAACAGTCCCAGCACTGTAGGTATGTTAAGAAGTACATGAACAAATACTGTCATGTGTCACACACTGCTCCAAACACTGTGAAGAGAGCAGTAACAGTACACAAATGGCCCTGGCTTTCAAGATTATATTCTAGTTAGAGAACAGTATTTGTGATGAAAGCAGACTAACATGGCAGAGTATGATTTGTTAATACACAAAGTCTCCGAGGGAGAACTTTTTCTTTTTTTGGTACCGGGGATTGAACTCTGGTCCTTGCGCTACAAGGCAGGCCAACGAACCGCTAAGCTAAATCCCCGGCCCTAGCTGAGGGAGAACTTTTATTCCCCTTCTATCTCCTCTAAAATGTCACGGGTTCACGTCCTCATAAAGGTTTATTTTACCCAACCTGACATTTTTGGGAAGTAGTCACTTGTAATCTTTTTTTCTGTACAAGTTCTATTTTATTGGTGCTATTAGTAATACAAAATGAGATTTGTTTGGGCATATTGGTACATGCATATAATATTCTTTGATTATTTTCATCTCCATTATCCTCCCACCCATCTCTAAAAGTCTACCTGCTAGTTTCCTGTCATCACTTTTTTTAGGTTGCTTATATTAAAGAAAACATGTGATATTTAACTTTCTGAGTCAGTTTGTTTTGCTTAACATGATGAGTCTTCAGTTCCATCCATTTTCCTGTAAATGACCTTCTTTGTGGCTGAATAACATTCCACTGTGTAAGTATAAATCACATTTTAATGCACTCATAAGTTGATATCTTTGTGCATATATACCACATTTTATCCACTTAGCTAGACTGTTTCCACAGTTTAGTTGGTTTTTGTTTTCTTTTTCTTCAGTTTTTTGAGACAGAGTCTCACAATGTAGTTGAGACTGACCCGGAACTCACTATGTAGCCCAGGCTGGTCTCGAACTCACAGCGATCCTCCTGCCTCTGCCTCCCGAGTGCTGAGACTACAGGCATGCACCACCATGCCTGGCTCCACAGTTTAGTTCTTGTTAATTGTACTGCAACTTCAACATGGGTATGCATATATCATTACACTATGCTATCTTTAATTCTTATGGGAATTCACAAAGTAGTATAAGCTGGATCAGATGGTATTTCTATTTTTAGTTTTTTGAAGGATACAGATTTCCACAATGGTTGTACTACTATATACATTGCCACCAAAAATATAGAAGGGTTCTTTTTTCCCCTGGACCCTTATCGGCATTTGTTGTATTTTGAAAAACTTTATTTTTTGTTAATACATGTTTGTCAACCATATTGATCACATTCATCTTAGGGAATGTGTACTTGTACACAATATATCTGAATTCTTCTTCTTTTTCTCATTCTCCTCCTCTCCCTTCAACCATTCTTAGGCTCCCCATTTACACAGGCTTTGTTTCTGAGTTTTCTATTTTTTATTTTTCCTTGCCTTCTCTTCCCCTTCCCCACTCCTTTGTTCCTCTTCCTATTTGAATGAGTTGTTCCTACTTACCAATATCTACCATTTTGCTCCTTACCTACCCTCTGTGTTTCTCACATAAGAGAAAACAATGCAACATTTAAATACGTATCTGGTGGGCTGGGGATTTAGCTCAGTGCTTCTGCCACCTTCTTAGCGCAATGACCCAAGTTCGATCCCCGGTACCAAACAACATAAACATGTATCTGATTTATTTCACTTAAAAATATGGTCAAGAGGTACATCCATTTACCTACAAATTACTCAACATTATTCTTTGTGGTAAAGTAGAACTCCACTGTATATAAATAGAATTTCTTCATCCATTCATTTGTTGATGGCATATGGGCTGTTTCAAAGATTCAGCTATTATAAACTGTGCTGCTATAAGCATGGCTGTGCATATATCACTGTCGTATATACTTTTAACTCTTTCAGGAAGATACTTAGAAGAGGCACAGCTGGATCAAATGTAACTTCCTAGTTTTATCTTTTTGAGGAATCTCCACTCATGTTTCATAGTGGTTATACCAATTTATGCTCCCATGACCAACAGAGAAGGATTCCTTTTCCCCACAGCCTCACCAGAATTTGTTATTGGCTGATTTCATGATGATAACCATTCTACCTGGAGATAAAATCTCAGTGTTGTTCTACTCTGCATTTCTCAAATGACTACGGATGTTGAGCGCTTTTTATATGTTTATTTGCTGCGTGTACTTCTTCATCTAAGGAATGTCTATTCATTTCAAATGCCCATTTTTTAATTGGGTATTTAAAGTTTGGAGGGTCTGATTTCTGAGTTTTTTCTATATTCTAGATGTTACTCCTTTGTCTGAGTAACTGGTAAAAACCTTTTCCCACTCTGTGGGGTGTCTCTTCACTCTGCTGGTTGTTTCTTTTACTATGCAAAAGCTTTTTAATTTGATGCCATCCAAGCTATTGATTCTTTGGATTTCCTGTGTGGAAACAGGAGTTGTGGCACGCACTTGTAATTCCTGGTGCTTGGGAGGCTGAGGTAGGAAGGAGCATCACTGCAAGTTTGAGACCAGCCTGAACACCAGTGAGACCCTATTTCAAAAAACAAAAACAAAAACAAAAACAATTTCCTCTGCGATTGGGGTTTTTATCATAAAGCCTTTTCCTACATTTATGTCTTCAAGAATTTCACCAATTCTATCTTCCAGCAGACACAGTGTTTCTAATTTTATTTTTATTTTTTTTAATTTTTTGGGTACCGGGGATCGAACACAGGTCCTTGTGCTTGCAAGGCAGGTGCCGGAATCGCTGAGCTAAATCCCCAGCCCAGTGTTTCTAATTTTAATATTTAGATCTTTGATCCATTTCTATTTTAATTTAGTGCATGGTGATAGATACGGGTCTAGGTTAAATCTTCAGCATGTGGAAAGCCAGTTTTCCCAGCATCATTCATTAAACAGGCTATCCTTCCAGTTTATGTATTTGACCTTTTGTCAAAGATACGGTAGCTGAGAGTCCCTAGAGTTATCTTTGCATCTTCCATTCTCTTCCACTAAACCTCGGGACTATTTTCTCCCAGTAGTGTGCTGTTTTTAATCATGGTAGCTTTGTAGTGTAACTTCAAATCAAGGACTATGATGCCCTCTGCCTTGCCCTCTTCTGGTTCCATGAAAATTTTAGGATTGCTTTCTCTACTTCTGTGAGGTATGCCCGTTAGTATTTTGACTGGGATTGCTTTAATTCTGTGTAAGTTCTGGAAGAATGCCAATTTCACTATACTGGCTCTGCCTATCCAAGAGCATAGGATGTTTCTATTTTTTTGATATGCTATTCCATCTCCTTTCTCAGAGTAGTATGGTTTTCATTTCCCTGGTTAGGTTAATTCCTAAGTATTTCATTTCTCTTGATGTTATTGTAAAAGCTGTTCTTTTCCCTAATTTCTCAGTGGGTTTGTTATTTGTGTACAGGCAGGCTATTGATTTTTGAATGCTGACTTTGTACCCTGCTATGATGCCAAATTTAGTTATTAATTCTGAAGTCTTTCAGGGGAATTTTGGGGGTGTTCTATATAGAGTATCACATCATCAGCAAATAATTTACATTTTTCCTTTCCTATCTAGATTCCTTTTGTTGCTGTATCTTGTCTAATTACTCTGGCTAATGCTTCCAGAAAAATACTGAACACTAGTTATGATAGTAGACATCACTGTCTTGTTTCTGATTTTACACTGAAAGTTTTCAGTTTTTAATCATTTAGTATGCTGTTGGTTTGTGACAGGTGACTTTTATCAGATGGATATGAAAGACTTAATTTTCTGTAGGGTTTTTACATGACTGGGTGTTAAGACTTTGTCAAATAATTTTTTTTTCTGCATCTATCGAGGTGAATCCATGGTTTCTGTTCTTGGTTCTGTTAATGTGGTATATTGCATTTATTAATTTGCATATGTTGAACCATCTTTGCATTGATGGAATGATTTGTACTTGATTATATTGCTGATTCGCTGCAAATTTCTGCATCTATGTTCATTAAGGAGACTGGCCTGCAGTTCTCTTTTCTGGTTGGATCTTCTCCAGTTTTTATATCAGGGCAATGCTTGCTTCCAGCAATATTTAGGGTGTTGCTTCCCTTTCAAATTCATTAAAGACTTTGAGAAGTAGTGGCACTGGATCTTCTCTAAATTTCTTGTAGAATTCAGTAATGAATTCATCAGGACCCTGCCTGTTCTATGTTGGTAGTTACTTTATTACTACTTCAATTTAAATGAGTTTCTTGTATGTAGTATATTATCGGATCTTGTTTCATGACCCAGTCTGACCATGTTTCTTCTGATTGGTGAGTTGAGACCATTTATGTTGATGGTTGTAACTGATATGTAATGACTTACCCTTCTCATATTCTTTTCCGGTTGTTGGTTCCCTTTCTTTATCCCTCTGTTTAATTGTCTGCTGTGTCTGGTGGATTCATTCTATTGAGGGCCACGGAACTGTTGTCTGTATTGTCTCTTTCCAGAATATCCTTCAGAATTTTTTCAAGTGATGGTTTGGTGGTCATGAATTTCTTCTTCAGCTGCTCTTAATCATGGAATTATCATATTTTCCCATTGATTTTAGAGAAAGTTTTGCAGGTTATATCAATCTGGGTTGGAGGCTGTTTCCTTTTGGAGGCTGAAATACTTCTTCCAAGTTCTCCTTGACTTAAGGGTTTGAATTCAGAAATCTGCTGTGATTCTGATGGGTTTTCCTTTCTAAGTGATATGTTTCTTTTCTTTTCTCTAACAGCTGTTTTTTTTTTAATACAGGGTCTCATTATGTAGTCGAGGCTGACCTGGAACTCACTATGTAGCCCAGGCTGGTTTTCAACTCACAGTGA